GAAGTGCAGGCTCTTTGCTCCCACTTCAGGTGGCCACGCCCGAGTCTGGTTTATAACCAGGGCCCCTCTGCCTTGTCTCCATCACCAAATGCTTGTTAGGACTCTTAGATCTAAACCTACATGCTCTTAGGGAGCATAAGCCATGCCTTCCAGATGTTTATTCCTTAAAATGGGCCCTCACAGTACAGGACAAAGCGTGCGTAGACAAGTGCACAAACAGCGGCAGCAAAACTGAAAACACAGGTCTAAATAAAGAAGTTAACGAATTAATTTTATTTCCTTGGCTTGGCCTCTTTGTCTGAACTGGTGGTTCCGATAAAAATTGTTTCTTCTTCGTCTATTTATCATCATTAGTTTGCTTCTGAGCATATAGAAAATCGGATCACATAAATACATATATTTAAATTTCGACAGATCTACTCAATTGATTAAGAACAAGGATAATTTTGCCGCTTTCTATCGTGCCTCTCTCTGGGGAGGCTTCTCCTCTTTGTATTTGTAATTTCCTTTTCCCTCGTCTCAATCCTGAGGGGGAAGCATCTGTGTCGGTTTTACAGACGAGAAGCCGCAGTCTCAGAGAGGTCAAGTAATTTGTCTGCGATCACCCAGTAGTGGGGGCGATAATTCAAACACAAGAGTCCTGACACGTGCTACCCACATAACTGGAAAGCAAGAGGCTACGATCCTAGCCCCGTTCATTGGGTTTCTCACTTATCTGATTCGCACTTAGAGATCCTTTAAAGAAACACCTCTCATTACGGGAAAATCCAACCCTATAGAAAATTGTCGACAGAACAATGAACCCTTAGAGGTCCTTTTAATTCAACCCAGAATTGGTTGCACTTACATCTGCCAAAGGCTGAGGGCACTGAATGAAAGGGAAATGTGAACTTGCCGTTTCCTTTTCTTTTTAAAACAAAAAAGATATTCAGGACACATTTTAGAATCATTGACGGTTTCTAGGAAGATTTTCTTTTCTGCAAGAAAAAAGGTACTCTTGTCTCCTTAATTGTTCTTAGCGTTCTTTGTCACCAATCATGATATTCTTTGCGGAAAGTATTAATATACCATCTTCCTGTGTTCAATATTCCCATTAACAATAAAAAGTCTAATGAAAATACCTGCATGAAAAGCTCTGAGCGCTAATTTCAGGGACAAATAGGAGATGAGCCAATAAGCACCTCTTCTGAAACGAACGATGCAAATGAATTGATATCTTAATTAGGCTTTAGCAGGAGGATGGTTAGATTGAATCAGAACTGAAAACCATCTTAAAAGAAAAGCTGAGGACATGGCCCCGGGGGTGGGGGTGGGGTGGGGAGAAAGATGCTGTATGTGTCAGTGCTCTGCTGGAAATCTCTTTTGCTCAGGAGGGATTTTCAAAGAGGAGGCCGAGAAGGATACACACTTTATGTATCAGTCCCTGCCTGCTCGAGCTGCAGCCTCCTTCTTCTGCCTCACCCGAACGGGAGCCCTTGGAGGGCAGAGACAGCCAGTCCCTGATTTGTCTGCGTCCGTAACCTCAGAGCTAGCGTGGTGCCTGACTTCAAGCAACAACAATAATATCATGATGAAAGGCTATTCAGAGCTTACTATACATTCTGTGTACTGTTTTAAGTGCTTGACTTAAAATAACTCATTTAAGCTTCCTAACAACAGTATGAGGTAGGGACTGATGCCCCCCACTTCACGAGTCAGCGTACTGAGACACGGGTTGAGCAACTTGCCCCCTGAAATCGCATACCTAATACAGGTAGGTTCAGATTAGAACTACAGCAGTCTGGCTCCAGATTCCTTGCTCTTCAGCTCTATGTCATAGCAAATAATGGTCAATCCATGTTTTTGGAATTAAAGCAACAAAGGGTACCATGCATGCCTAGTCCTACTGATGGGCTTCTGTCCAGTTCTTAGATTAATTTAAAAACGACTCTGTCTTAGACCCTGACAGCCTTTCCGTGTGGGGGCTGCAGATGCTTCCTTTATTCCTAAGAACTGGCTGCTCTCCTGTTTTAACCTGCACAGAGAGTCTCAAAATTGTCCCTACTGAGGGGGTCCCCCAGGCATGGCCCAGTCCACCACCCAGTTAGTCCTGGGCCCCTAATATCTAGGCCAGCCGAGTTTGCCTCTGTGGCCATTGTGAATTGCAGGACCATTGTCACTCCATGTTTGCAGTGACTTTATGGCATGCCCTATTGCTGAGGCTACTAACTGCTGAGAGTAATGATAATATGTAGGGTTTACTTTTATGAGGTTCAAAACTCAGCTGTATTTAATTTACCAAGATAGCATCCCCCGGAGAGGTTGCCCAGACCATCTACCCAGAAAAGGTAACCGGAAGTAGGGTCCTGGCATGGTGAGGGAAGCACAGAAATCATGTTTCCTGTCCTGTGGAGAGAGCATGGTGGCCCCCCTCTGCCACAGCGGAGCTGATGGGAGCCACGTGCTGTGAACTCAGACCACATGGAATGGGAGGAAGGGCGTGCGGTTTGGAGTTGGGGTCCTGGATTGAAGACCCACCTCTACAACCCACTAGATGAGAGACTGTGTCATTCAATTGCTCTACGTCTTGCTTCACCCATCCAAAAAATGGGGATAACACTCAGTTCACAAAGTGATTTTGGGGATCAAAAGGAAGTTTCAAAGTGTTTTTCATTTGAAAATTGCTCCACAAATTGGGTGATATTAATGACAACCAAGGCATCCTGACATGGAACGCTTCAGCCTTCCTTCAAGCTGCTGAACTACCCCTGGATGCCTGTTAAACTCAGATGCTGCATCCTCTCCAGACTGACTGAAGTGGTGCCCAGGAATCTGCATTTTTACAAGCTGATTCGAATGTGCTCTCATATTTGAGACCACTCAGCAGCAGCTAACACCTACACAAAGGAAATGCTTCTTGGTGTGTTTGGAGCTCTGTCTTCCTTTGGCCAAGGGCCATAGCCTGAGACCCAAATGGGCCTGGTTTACATGGGCTTTGGGGCTGATGGAATTTGGGGGCTGGTGGGCAGGCCAAGCAGATACAGCTGAGAGCCCCTGCTTCCTGCTGGCCCCTCAGATCATGGAAAGTAGGTGAAAATGTGACTGAAACCCAAGCCTCCACCAGCCTGAATGGGAAGGCCGAGGGCCGCACCCGGGCAGGTGGCCGTGGTAAGCTCTGTGGTTTAGCGGTCTTGCCGGACAGCTGCCACCTGCCACCTGCCACCTGCTCTACTTCTGACCTGGGCTACTGAGGCAGAACCCATATCTGCACCACAAGGCTTACGTGAGAGAACTGTCTCGAGTGAGTATTGGGGTGAAGGCAGTGGCCGGAGGGGATTTTGGGCTTGTTAGAGAGACAGCCTCGTGGCCCCTGGGCCCCTCGGCTGCTGAAGTTTTTCCATCTACAACAGCTTCCGATCTCAGAATTGCCCAGTAGAACCCTCTTACAGAGAGCCTTGTGCAGGGGGTGGGCTATAAATGTGACGTCCAGGGCCACACTCTTTTCTTGAGAGTTTCAGCCTCTTGTGACTGCCAGGGAGTCCCAGGCACAGAGAATGGCAACACTCTGGCTTGGGACAGGATCCAGCATCTTTCTGTTTTGTGCCCTCAGTTCCCCTCCCTGCCCCGATGGCATGAAACTCCGGTTCTGCCCCTTCACATGCTTATGGTATTCCCAAGGCTCTTCGTCAGGCCGAGGGGGGGCTTGGAAGGGCAGTGTGGGAGCTTTCCCTCGGGACCTTGTTCACCTGAACATCTGGCAAAGGGCCTGTGGTCACTGGGAAGGGTTAGGTGCCAGGGTAACTCTCCCATGCCCGGACGCTAATGGCCGTGAGAACTGCCTTGCTCAGGAGTGTCAGTAACTAGTTCAGAGGACACCCCTTCTTCCGCCCCATAGCTCTAGAAGGAAGAACACAAGTTCCTTATATCTGGCGCCCTCTATGTTTTCCAAAATGCTCTCAGTATGATGCTTCTGCATTGGATCATCACGACGACTGCCTAGAGGGAGTAACAGGGCTCTTACCTTACAGACAAAGACCGTCCAGAGAGATTTCGAGTGACTCGATAAAGTCAATGAGTTGGAAACCAGCCAAGCCTGAATCCAAACTTCATATTTCTAGTTCTGGGTTTCCACTACCTAACGAGATCGATGCCCTTGCACGCTATGCAAAGGTCATCCATGGGCTTTGTAGGCAGAGAGGCACAAGTGCGTGAAGCTAGTGGGGATTTTCCCAAAGTGCGGTGCCAGGCACTTGTGAACAAAAGGTTCCCTAGTCAAATGAGATTGGAAAATAAGTGCATACTATATAGCGCATATTAAAATATTGAAAGCTCTAAAAAGCCCTTCAGTGAGGAATGGGGTTAAGTCAGTTTAACCCATAGCTTGTCTGGCAGTAGAACCTTTCCCCTCCCCTGCAACATAATGCCTATTGACAATCTACTAGATTTGTGTTCCTCAGACCTGCTCCTTCACAAATATGACAGCAAAGGGACAAAGACGAAGAGAAGCCATTTGTTCCGGTCAAGGAAGGGAAATTGCCACGCCTCCTCCATGCCCCAGGGGAGCAGGGGCTCCTGCAGGATCCCCCCTGCCGGCCAGTTCTGCTTCCCCGACTGCACAGAAACCCCCCCACCCCCGGTGCCCCTAGATCCAGGCCCCTGGCATTGGTGTGCCGGAGCCAAGTGTTACGTTTTTAGAAATCTTGTGAGTCAGTTGTTAAATCATCAGTAGCTTGAAATTGGCCATGGCGGGAGTATTTACACTGCAGAAATCAGCAAATACTACAAATCAGGGCTCCTTCCCCTGTGATCCTGAGAGCCCATTAATCTGTGCACCACTGATCCTAGGACATTTTTTTGAAATTATTAGAAAACTTGAGAGGGGCTGTGACAGCTAGGTGCTGGGCGCCACCTGACACAGAAGTCCTTGCTCATCAGGGTCCTCAACCTTCATGAATGAGAGCTGAGAACTGCACAGAATGATAGCCCCAAATAAATCAGAAAGTGCCTCCTAGCCTGCTTACCTTGATATTTGTCACCAGCCAATGTCTCCAGAACCGAGCTTTGGGGAAAGACTTGCTAGGGGCATCTGGGTCCACCATCACCAGGATATAGGTTGCATCCTGTAACACATTCACCAAAAAGAAATGTAGCATCATGGCTAGAATCCTGATAGAAAAACTATCAGGTGCAGACCCTCCTTTTACCTTTATTCCAGCTGAGAATGGCTGACCAATCCCTATAGCTTCCGGCTCAGGTCATCCTGATTCTCATGATATCGCTCTTATGTCACATGTTTATTTCCAGAGAAATAAAGTCTATGAAGAAGACAGCTTAATAATTCGGCTTCCTCTTTATGAAGGAGAATAAATCAAACAAGCATATTTGCTAAGCACTGGAAGTCTCTAGCATCGTGCTAGGTGCTATGGAAGAAACGAAGAAACCTAAAACAGGACTTCTGCTCTAAAGAATTGTAGTTGGAGTGACTTATCCATTCATTCAGCAAATACAGGAGAACTGACTCTGGATCAGGAATCATACTAATTAAAATAAATACTAGGATTCATTATCTCTTCATTCATTATTCCTTCAACAAGCATTTACTGGACACCTAGTGTGTGCCTGAAACTGTTCTAGGTGCTAAGAATCCAACAGAGAATAAAGACAGTGTGATCCATACTCCATACTTTCAGGAAGCTTTTATTCTAGGTAAGAAACACAGATTTAAAAACAAACAAAAAACAAACAAACAAACAAAACAAAAAACCCACCCCTGCCTCAAAAAAACCCAAGAAAATATCAGTTTGTGATTAGTGCTCAGCCATGATTAAAATAAAATAGGGTAGGGTGAGCCAGAGTAAGCATCCCGAAAAGAGGAAACAGCTTCTAGAAAGGCCTACAGGTGGGAAAAAGTTAGGGTCTGAGGAATGGAAAGAATGCCATGTGGCTAGGGGCAAGCAACGGGGTTTGGGGGTGGGGAACAGACCTGGCGGAGTTGGAGAGGTGGGCAGGGCTAGACCACAATGACTTTGTAGCCCAGATGAAGAGCAGGGGCGTATTCTAAGTGCAACGCAGAACTATTGGAGGGTTTTAGCCAGGAGACTAAATAAAGAGAATGGTATGCTCTGATTTACATTTTTTTAAAGATTGTTTGGGTGGCGGGGTGGAGAATAAATGCTTGGCGGGAGGCAAAGGAGAAAGCCAGTTGGGAGGCGACTGCAGTAGTACAATGAAGGTGATGGCGTCTTGGACTAGGATGGTAGCAGTGGAGACGACAATAAGTAGACGGATTAAGGAAGTATTTTTAGGTAGAAGGGAAGAGACTTGCTGATGATCTAGACCGTACGGCAGTGAGGAAGGGATGGGGAAAGAGAAATGAAGAACGAAGCCTGGGTTTTTGGTTTGACCAGCTAGGTAAATGGTGCCATTTAATGACACCTGGAGAAGAGAATGTTTAAAGGAGGACATCAAGAGTCCTGTTTTAGACATGTGAAGTTTAAAATGCTTCTTAGAAGACAAGTTTATAAGTCAGAGTCTGGAGTTTAGGGGAGAGATCAGGATTATAGGAGTCATTTACATTTATATGTAAATCTAGGAGTCACTTACATATAGACGGTCCTAAATCCATAGAATAATGAGATTATTCATGGAGAGGTTAGACGTGGAGAATAAAACAGGTCTCACGACTGAACTCTAGAACGTGCTAACATTAAGAAGAGATTGCTAGAGGAGACTCTAGCACAGGAGACTGTAGAGTTAGGGAGGTAAGGGAAATGCCTACGGAGTAGATATTCTGAAAGCAAGACAGAAAGCGTTTCAAGAATGAGGACGTGGTCGACTGTGTTGAACGTAGCAGAAAGGTAGAGCAAGATGCGGACACAGATGTGACAATGTGATTTGACAACTTGGAAATCGCTGTTATCTCGGCACGACCAATTTCAGTGGAGTAGAAAGGACTGAGGTTTGATTGGAATAGGTGGGGACGAGACGGGAGATGAGGAACTGGAGATAGTTATTAACGATGATTTTAAAAGAAGTTCTGGTGTGAAGGACAGCTGAGACATGGAGTGGTTGTTATTAGTGCGGAAGGAAGAGTCAAAAGATCTTTTAATTTTATTCTTATTTTTTAAGAGATGGATGACAGGCACGTTTGCAGGCCAATGGAAATGATCCGATGGAAAGGGAGTTATAAATGGTAGAGGGAAAAAGGGGATCATTTCAAGAACCAAGACCCTGGGAAGTGGAAAAGGGCTGGATTCAGAGCAAAAGTGAGGCTCGGCCTTTGGTGGGAGCAGAGGACAGGGGCTCCAATGCAAGGGAATGGGAAGATGTGTGGTGAGGAGTAAGAAAATTGTCTTCTGGTTGCTTCTATTTTCTCAGTGAATTAGCAGGTGGGTCTTAGAAGGATTAGAGGTTGTCCGGCGACAGAGAAGAAGTTGTGCAATAGTCATTTTGGAAAGTAAGAAACTGAATAAACCAGAGGTCTGTAGAAAGGTTACTAGGTAATACTACATTCCACTGTTGTGTGCTTTTTAACTGTGCATTCGCAGGCATGGAATAAGTGGTAGTCGGGTTTAATTTGTATAGGGACTTAGACTGGTAAGTACGAGGGGAGGAGGAGGTTGTGAGAGAGGAAGAAGCAAGCAAGATGAATAGAGAAGACTTCTGGGCCTCCTCTCGATCTGAAGGGAGAGACAGACATAGACGTAACTGCAGTTCCACGTGCCTGAATCGAGGAGCATTTACTGACTACTGAGGGAGCACGGCAGAGGGAGCCTAAACCTCTCCACCTCGGGAGTCCAAGAAAGCTGCACAGAGTTATCTTTTTTACTTACTCTTGAAGAATGAGCTGGTAAAGGGTCAGGAAAAGCAGTCAAAAGGCAAAGGGGAGGGTCTGTGCCAGGCATGAGGGTGCTTGGGGATGGCCAGAGTCTTGGTGTGCTGGAATCCAGGGCATCTAGAAAGGACGGGTAAATGACAGAGCTGAAAGGTTACTGGGACCAGGTCACAGAAAGCCTTACATGTCTTAAGTTGTTTAGAATTTGTTTGGCAAGGGGAGCCACTGAAATTGTTTGAAGAGATAACTGGCATGATTAAATGTGTGCCGTGGAAAGGTACACGACGTGGATGCGTAAAAGACTAAAAGTAGAGTGAAAAAGAAAGATAACTGGAATACTCCGAAGAGAGGTTCTGAGGGCCTGAAAATTCAAGTACTAATAGAGAAAGGAGAGGCATCTGTACCGTACAATCAACAGCATGAAGTGACTACTGGAGAGGGCGGATGCACGCAGGAAACAGAGATGTCTAGGATGATGCTGAGATTCTGTCTCGGGCAACTAGGTGTATATCAGGAGTAACAAATTTGGGAGAAGGTGTGTTTGGTGTTGAAACATCCTTTTAAGGATGTACCTTAAATGTAACTACGAGGCTGAAACTCTTTTAAGACTTGGCATGTGGGTGGGGGGCATGGGGATGAATGAGATCGTCAGGGAGAACTTGTAGAGCGAGAACACAAGAACCACTAGCGTGGGACTCAGGAACTCAAAGAGGAGGGGAGGGGCGAGACTGAGGAGAAGAGAATTAGGGGGAACCAGGGAACATAGTGTCATGGACACCAAGAGAAAAAACGGTTCCAGAAAGGGGCGGGGCTGGGGTCAATATAACAGAGCCATCGAGGGATAAGGGCCATTGGCTTTGACAATTGAAGGATCACTGGCAACTTTCCAAAGATGAATTTTTTTTAAAGAAAAACACTGATTATTGAATGTTAATATCCAAAAGAATCAGTGAACCACATATTAGATACTATGGGAAATTAAGTCAGAGAAAATGAAGATAAGCCCACTAAAATTTTCAAGAACTCAGAAGAAAACGATAAAGAGATGAAAATATTAGTGGGAAAATAGAATTAAATCATAAATTGCCCGTCTGTGAATTTGTGTGTGTATGTGAATTTGTGTGTGTGTGTGTGTGTGTGTGTGTGTGTGTGTGTGTGTAATCCCACTAGAATCCCAGAGAGAAAAAAACTGTCTAATTGATACATCCAGGAATTGGTTCTAGCCAAAGTAATAAGAAAATAAAAAGAAACAAAGTGTAAGTACTGTAAAAGAATAAATAAGACTGTCTATCTGTTCTGTCTTTAAATTTTTTTGCACATGACACGATTAACTACCTGAGAAATCCAAAAGAATCAGCTGGAAACAATTATACTAATATTCAGTAAAGTGAGTTGTTACAAAATGCACACAAAATGAGGACTTTTTTACAGACTAATAATGGTCAGTTAGAAAATATACTTTAAAAATACAATTTATAATTTCAATGAAAACATAAAATATCTAAGAAGAAACTTGATGAAAATGCAAGACTTATACAAAGAAAACAAAAACATTACTGATGTACATAAAAAGAAAGCTTGAATAGATGGAGAGAGACCTACTATGCTGAAATAATCATTTGCAAATATGCCAATAATCCTTTAATTAATTAGTTTATTTAACACAATTTCAATCAAAACCCTAAGTAGATGGGTTGAGAACTTCAAGAAATGATTATAAAGCTTAGAATAAATGCAAAAAAATTTAGCCAAAGTAATATTTTAAAAATTTGATTTTTGTAGATATTAAAATATATTATAAAACTACAATAATTACAATGTGGTGTTGACTAAAGAATAAATAAGTAAAGGAAGCAAAATAGAAAATCTAGAGATAAACTCATGTTCTTAATATCAGTGTATTTAATACATGATCAAATGATCATTAACTGTGTGTTATTTAATATATGATTAAGTTATTTCAAATCAGTGGGGAAAAGATTATTTTATAAGTGCTATTGAGACAGTTGGCTCACTATGTGAAATATACTTCAGCCTCTATTTCTCTCTCAGTTACCAAAAAACTTCCAGATTTAAATGTAAAAATGAAAAGAAATTCTTTAAAAACTGATTTGATAAAATTAAAGTGAGTTTATATAATGGAATACTTGGTTAGAGTTAGATCTTTATATTTTAATATGGGAAAATGTCCAAAAAATGGGAAAATATCCACAATATACTAGTAAGTGAAGTAGTAGAATAGTTTGTATATCTAAAATGTGCAAGAAACTATATATCTAACTATAT